CTTGTAATTACTTGAAGATGATGAGGGTGAGAGAGTAAATGTGTCATTTTCGAAAAAAAAAAATCAAAAAAATTTGATGGCATTTTCGTGAATTATATGAACTTGTGGGGTGAATAGGGCAAAATTAAGTTCCAAAAAAAAGGGAGGTTAGTTTTGTGGTTGACTTCAAGTTTCAGGTCAAATCTGCAAAAACCCCTTACAAGCAACTGCTTCCGGCCCTCAAAAAATATTTGAAAAATTCAGTCTTTTTTATAAGAAAATTATTATTATAGTATATAAACATTCTTATAAAAATGGCCAATTTTTTGAAAATTGCTTCCGGTCTTTTCCATGGCAGGACCGGTACTGCATAAACATCACTTTTTATTTTTATAATACATTACATATATAGACAGATATTCAAACGTAAAATTTACAATCTATACATCCAAATCACATTTTGACGACACATGATAGAAAACTTTTCGGGCATCCAAATTTTCAGCGTGGACCATAATGAATATTGGACTTCACATAATAATTATACCTTTTACACTATTGTGCAATTCCTTTATAATAGCAAATATAGAAGTCCGTTTGGTCCAATAGTTATGAAAGTTTGACCAACAGAAGAAACCATTTTTAGCATATTAATGTTTACTATAATCTTTTTTTTTTTTTAATTTACTATAACTTTTCTGAAGATCTTTCATGTGGTGCCAATAGCAATTCACCATAATGTCGTGAAACAAAAATACTTATTGTGGATACATTACATATAAACCTATTTAGATAGATTTAGTGCAAAATAAATATTATTTTCGATCTTTTTAATAAAGTTGTTTAGCCTATTTTCAATTGTTTCAATTTCTTTGTCGACAACCAGAATTTTAACAAATATATATAATATACACTTACAATATATATACCATTTATATTAATAAAATATCAAGTGTGACAAATAATATTTTAGCTGTTGATCATAACTTTTCCTTTTAATTGCACTTTTTCTTTCTTGGCATTATACCAAACTGTGGCCGAATTTTAACATGTTCTTTTGAAAACGTTAGAAAATAAATACAAACGATGGTGATTGGGTCTTCGAGGTAAAACACGCAACTGATTGGCTAGTTTGTGTAATCTGCCACATTGAGCTAATCACCGGCGTGTTTTCCGGACATTCGCCGCCGACGAACAGATATATACATTTATTACATGTTAAACAATGACGTGGAGACTTTATGAGAAGAACGTGACGGAATGACCAGCCGCTCGGCACGTGAGCCACCTGGTACCACACGTGATAGAGAGAGAGATGCCGAGTGAGAAAATTAAAAGTAGCAGTTGGAGATGAAAGATGCAAAGTAGAAAAAAGTGAGATTTGTTTTCTTCAGTAAAAATTTGGATAAGATTAGGCATTAAACAAAACAAAAAAAGTCGGTTATCCGTAATTATAAGTATAATCAAATTTTAGTTCTGGTATAAAAATCGTGAATATAATAAATAAATCACTAATACCACAGATACAATGTACCTATAGTTCTAAACAATTAGCTAGTTTAACAGCTTTTTTATTATTATTTTTAAATATGTCCCAACATCTGAACTCTAATACCAATCATTTAATATTGTGAAGTATAAACCAGTAAATCTTTTAATATGTTTGTATTTCTGACAATAGAACTATACATGTTGTTTAATTCTGATATGTATGTTATGTGAAACATATATTGTTTTCTAAGTACAGAATATGAAAATATGTGAAATACTTGCATATGCATATGTAGCATTGATTCTCATTAGCATTGCAGCTTTTATTGAAAAACGAGTTTGTACAACCTATCTCCTTGTTTGTATAGTTTGTCTCTTGTCGCATCACCTACATTTTCAACCTTCGGTGTTATAAATGTGAAACAATAACTCTTTAACACTATGGTGAAAAAATTATGTCATTATCCAGCTATTTTGAGTTTTATGTTCTAAAAAATCAATTAAGCCATGTCACGCATGATTTTTCTTATATAATAACTCCTCCCACTAGAGCCCATTCTTAAACTCTTTTCATATTTCTTCTCCTACCTTTTCTTCTTCTTCTTCCAACAGAATAGACCGACAAAAGCCTCTGGCTCGAACAGAGACAAAGAAACATCACAGAGCAGAGTAAAAACAATGGCTACCACACAAGTTCTTGTTCTCTTTGCTTCTGCATTCCTATCAATGCTCTTCGCTGGCGTTGCTTCCACCAGGTATCATCCATTAAATTACTCATTGGTCATTATACTAAATATTCTTAGCTCAGTTTGGAGTCAACTGTTTTACGTGATCTGGTTCATAGACCAGAGCATTGAGGCTTATAGGCAACTCAAAATCTATGGTGGAACACGAAAACAATTTTTCTTCTTTGAAGTACTGATCAGTATAAGTTGATATTGTATTATATATCTCAAAATTCTTGTAGTTTTGGATCTTAATATTGACCATGAACAGATCCGTGTGCTTAAACAAAAGTGTGTTGATTATAATAATGCAATACGCGAACACTTACATACAAGTAGTGATTAACGAGGTTTAGTATATTGCTTTTATGATATAGTGATGTTAATTTCGGGTTTAGAGATAGTGGTTGTAGTTTTGTTTTAATATAGTAAACTAATTAATTGTGTTTCAGGTCTAATGAAACATGGCATGAACATGCAGTTGAGAATCCAGAGGAAGTAGCTGCCATGGTGGACATGTGAGTTTTTCTGTTGCTTAATCTTTTATTTGTTTTATTAGAATAGTAATAGTAATATAATGCATGTTTGCTAATTAAACAGTAAGTACATGATTCGCCTATTGCGATTGGGTAGTTGGTAAAACAATAAATTAAACTTTAACTCTTTAAAGGACCAGCATCTCGTGACGTCTGGCTGGATAGATTCCTGTGATCTTCTTTAGTAAATAATTAAGAAATAAAATAAAAAAATTCAAAAAATTGGTAACTTGTATTTATGTGGAGCAGAGCTCACATGGTGCTTGTGTGAGAATTTTTATACATTCTGGTCAAAGGGTTCAATCCATAGGGCCAACAACCAGACCTCGATGACACTCCTTTTCCTACTTTCTCTTTATCTTTTTTGTTTTCCTTTATATATATCTTCATTTATAGAAAAGATAAAGATTTTATGCTTAAGCAATTTAATGGTTTTTACATAGAACACTTTTTCAAAAATGTTAGAGTTAATTTAATTTTCTGTTAATTATTTTTATTTACGGATTTTTGGTTTATGCAGTCATATACTTTACACTCTGCTTTGTAGTATATTAGTTTTAGTTTAAGTATTTTCAGATGAGAAAACTAAAAAGTACTTTCTTGGTTCCCATTCACAGGAAAAAACGAATAAAATCCTATGTTTTTCCCCCATATATATAGAGATAACTATATAGTATGTAACTATGTATATGAGAAGTGAAGATAGAATGGCGGTGGGAAAATACTTTAGTAGTTAATATAATTCTTTATGCTTATTCTTGCTGAGCGTTTCAGACTTCCCTAGTTCTCTGGGTGGACCAAAACATCATGTACATGAGCTCATTTAGTTGAGTTGGATTTGGGTGCCATCTTCCCATTAAATGCTATGCACCATATCATATAGTTAAAATCATTGCAAAAAATATTTTACCAAATAGAAAAAACACATGTAGTAAATTTTTTTGCTTGCGAAAATCTTATGGAATTATTAGACACATTGGTCCAGAAGAACATATGTAATGTTTTTGTTTTGTTTTGAAACAAAAAAAAAAACATTTGTAAATGTTCCAACGAACACCTAATCTTTAGGAGCAGTGAATTGCGACAAGCACATGCATATGCCTCGTGTAGTGTTTTCCCAGTTCTTTCACTGATAACAGTACTCAGGATAACAACAGTTTCAGTCTTATCTCGTTATAGAATAACCAATAATGTGAAACTTATTAATTCATTATTTACATCATATATTAAAAATGTATGAATGTGCCCACCGACGCAGATATCTTATAGTTTCATGTTAAGTGGCCCACCCAAAAATGATTGGTCCAATTTTGTTTAATTTAAATTCGTTACAATTTTGGTTCGCTAAAAACCGGTTTTTGATTTGGTTCAGGAGCATTCGAAACAATACCGCGCGGAGAAAGTTAGGTTACTTCTCATGCTCCACTGGTAACCCCATCGACGACTGCTGGCGTTGTGACCGTAAATGGCAACTCCGGCGAAAACACCTCGCCGTCTGCGCAATCGGGTTCGGACGCAACGCAATAGGCGGCAGAGACGGACGTTACTACGTAGTAAGCAACCCTAACGATGATAACCCGGTTAACCCTAAACCGGGCACACTCCGTCACGCCGTGATCCAAGAAGAGCCTCTCTGGATCGTATTCAAACGCGACATGGTCATAACACTGAAGCAAGAACTCATCATGAACAGTTTCAAGACAATAGATGGACGTGGCGTCAACGTACACATAGCTAACGGTGCATGCATAACGATACAGTACGTGACGAACATTATCATCCATGGGATACATATTCATGATTGTAAACCTACTGGTAACGCTATGGTGAGAAGCTCACCGTCGCATTATGGGTGGAGGTCGATGGCTGATGGTGATGGGATCTCGATTTTTGGGTCGAGTCATATTTGGATTGATCATAACTCGCTCTCTAGTTGTGCTGATGGGCTTATTGATGCTGTTATGGCTTCCACGGCTATTACTATCTCTAACAATTATTTTACGCACCATAACGAGGTTATGTTGTTGGGACATAGTGATACTTACACAAGGGACAAGGTGATGCAGGTTACTATTGCTTATAACCATTTTGGTAGAGGTCTTATCCAGAGAATGCCAAGGTACATACATACTTGTTGGAACTCTTTTCTACAAACCTATTTTTTTTTTTCAAATTTTTGTATCAATATTTTATATTAATTGATTGCTTTACAATTATTTAGTTTGCCATATTGTAGAATTTGTGTGTTCCTACAATACTTTAAATGATTTATCAACCTTTTTTTGTATTAATGTAGGTGTAGGCATGGATACTTTCATGTAGTGAACAATGACTACACGCACTGGGAGATGTATGCAGGGCACTGGCAATGGAAGCATTGGAATTGGAGATCAGAAGGAGACCTTTTCCTAAACGGTGCTTTCTTTACACGTTCTGGATCAGGACGTGGAGCTAGCTACGCTAGAGCATCAAGTTTAGCAGCCAAATCTTCATCCCTTGTTGGCGTCCTTACCTCTACTTCTGGTGCTCTTAATTGTAGAGGTGGTCGCCGGTGTTAATACTTGCTCATTAGTCTTCTTTTGGGTTCTTGCATTTATACATGGCAATAGCAATTGAAATGTTGGGCTTTGATTTAAAAACTGCTCAACTGTAGTATAAAAGTTGTATGGATTACATTCTTGTTTTACCAGTCTATATTTGATGTATCTAAAGGCAAGCAAAGTTTGGACAACTCATTTTCTTATCTTAATTTCTTCTTACATCGTGGATAAGAGAATCTTGGAACCCCACCGATTCATAGGTCTTAAGTACTAAGACCAAACATAGAGCACTTTCTATGAAATATATTTGATATCTTAATTTCTTCTCCTGTTTATCATTTTTCACATTCTTTCAAATGCATTTTGCTTCTTCTTAAATAAGGATTAAAATTTATTTCATCTCTTTTTTTTTTTGTCACTGAAATTTGTTTTTACATAGGCCTCTTAATATATTATATGTTTTAATTTCGTTATTACCAAGATTACAGATGTGATCTAAGTATGTTGTAATGTCTACAGGTTTGGGTATGAAGCATTTGAGCAAAATGCTAGTGGTGGTGGTGGATATCCTCATAGTTGTTATTAGGCAACCGACATGTGTGAACGAAACTAAAGATTAAGTTCATGAACCATCTCATAGAGACAAGTGTGACAAGAGAAATGATTCAAGAATGAGAAAACAAAGACACGAGGGAGTTACAAATCCCTCATTGTCAGATAAAGTCAAGCACGAGATACAACATACGGGTTCAAATTATTATAGTCTTAAAAAAAAAACAGCACAGAAGTTTATTATTACTCTCTAGAGGAGGTCAATGATCTAGCTTTTCCAGTAATCAGCAATGGGGATGGCTGGACATGGGGGAGTCGTAGGGTGCAGCCTCTTTTTCTCAGCGTACATTTCTTCAATGCTCCCAGTCCCAAGGCGAGTCATACGGCGATGACTAGTGTCTTCACCGACTGAGAACCCAAACCCACCCTTGAGAGTGAAGTATCCGGTAGATAGATCCTCATACTCTCTAATTATGACTTTGCGCTCAACATGTTCACCATCCTCACCAACCTGAGCCACAGGCAAGCCTTTAAACGTTATGTAGAAAATGGTACTTGTGGCATTCGTGGTACTTGTGAAATGCTCAATAGTTTTTTTTCCATTGCAACGCTCACAATCTGTAGCTGTGATACATGGCTCTGCAAAACAAAAACAAAAAAAAACACAGAAACATTAGCTAACATTCATTCGTTGTTGGCTGTCTATGGATGAAAAGAAGAAACTTACTTCTGGAATATTCCTATCATTTGAACAAAGAGCAAGTTCCAAGTATAGACGAATCCACTCGTTGCCATGCAACTCTGATTCTTTCAGCTGCAAAAGCAATAAACCATATCAGTGACTAACAAAAGGCCAATAATTTTTTTTATTTTTTTTAAAAGTGAGAGAAGAAAGAAGTGATATTGAGTACCAAGTAGAAACGTGATGTATCTGCAAAATCGGTCGGCCAGAAAGGTAGTCCCCTGTCATCACATGCATCCAAGGGATCAACGGTGGAAGCTTTGCAACATACATTGATAATCAGCAAGTTAGAATTTTTATACAAGACATTAATAATTATAAGAAAAAGAGAAGGAATTTAGTTATACTGTATATTTTTAAAATATCATTTGCTACTCTGATATAAATATCTGTCAATATTCAATTTAATAAAGTGATATAGAGCATCTACAACTCAGTCTTATATATGTTAAAATTTACTTTGATTCACTTCTATTGTTTTTTGTAAAATAGAGATTGTTATTTTTATATAGAAGAAAATAGTACGAAATAAAAGAATGGCAGTTTAGAAACATAAATTGGAGTGAATTTCACCTATTTTTATAACTTTTAAAGTTTATATGAAATAGTAAAATACATTGGAAATGCTGTTTAATATCAATATTCTTAAATGTAAAATATACATTATTTTTTTTATGTTTTAACTTTTATTTTTAACCAATATTAAATATAATTATTTTTTAAGATTTTAATTTTATTTGTTTGAATTAAAAAAATTCAAGAAAAAGGTAATTCAAATATTCTAAACATATCAAACATATTATATTTAATGAAAAAATTATTTTTATATCTAAGTCTACAAATTCTAGTAAATATGGTTTTTATTTAATTTATATAAGATACATTAAACTGCTAAAATCAATATATTCATTCATCATCACTTAGTTTATTATTGTTTACTAATTTTATCTTTACTGAAACTAAACCTAGTTATCTTACTATATATTAATTGAGAAGTCACTTAAGTATTTTGGTTATTT